CTCTCTGTATAAGTTCAATGCCTAAAGATTTGCGAACTATTTTTTTGGCTTTTGAGTTAACGTCATAAAATAATTTGGGTCCAAACTTATTAATTATATGATGGGCTATATCACATAATAATTATTATTTTTTTCTCTTAGACGAAGCAAATCATATAATCATGTAGTCGATATTAGTTTATCGAACTGATTTTAGTGGAAGCTCTGTGCTGACGGACCTGCCAACACCAGTCGTACAAGCCAATGGATCTGCATGTTTATTCTTCTGAATACAAACATGAATTCGTGGATAGGAGAATCAACTATCTAGATAATAAATAAAAGCCGAATGATGAAAACTGTTGCTCCATTTCAAATTTCCTGCAACGAGAGTGATTATAGGAATGACATTTTGGTCTTCACAATTGCTTATTTTCTTATTTATTTATTCATAAAAAAAGGCATGCACTGGGATTTGAACCTTGGTCTCTTTAAAGGCAAGCAAGGATCATAACCAATCACACTAAGTATATTTATTGTATCTATTTAAATTCAAACATACACGAACCTAAATTATGAAAATCACATGACTTTTTTAACGATTAGTTGGCCACTGAATCTCCGGTAAGTACTTATTTGGTGTTTTAATACTTTGATTATTTTTGTTGTAGTTTAATACTTAATTTAAATTTCTATCTATTTTATAAATATACAATAACCCTAAAATTGCAGCCCAAATATCACTGGTTCGAATATTGCATATCGAATTGCAATATTAAACATGTAGAAGCAATATCGACTTCTTAAATTAATATTATTTTTCAAAATTACTATGAAGAAATTATATCTTTGTGCAAACTATATGAGACTGGTTCTTTTAATGTTTTAGTCGGGATAACCGCTACATTTTAAACTTCTTCATAATCTGGCATGATTGGATCCAATGATCATTATACAAGATTGTGTTTAATAGGGTGGCTCATTTCACCACTCTTTGGCGTGTTAATGAATTTGTAGGACAATGACAGGTCTACATCTACACTCATCACAATCTACACATCATATAAATGTGAAATGTGAAATGTGAAATGAGAAAAGAGGGATTCCATTTCAAATTTGATGCGTACAGAGAAATTTTTTAGGGGTAAATTTAGAAGATGCCAGTGCGGTCGGTCTGTTGAGCACGAAAGTAAAAATATGTTTTCATTTAAACGGGCCCAAACTGTTATTTGGCCTACTAATCGTGCACTCATCGCCAATGCAGTCAAATTCGGGATTTTGATCGTAAAATCGTAGGATTTTAGGATTTTACTTAGGGATTCCGATCTTGATTTTACTATAAAATCGGTGGACCTTAAAATCGTTTAAAATCGGGACTAAAATCGTTAAAATCGTAAAATAGTACCGAAATCGGGATTTTGATCGTAAGAGAACAAAATAGGTGGTTTGAGCCAATTTAAAATAAGTATAACTGTTTCAGCGGAAAGGGCAATGGAATCTTCTAAGATATTTTTCTATTAGCAAAATATTTAAAAATAATAAAAATAACCAAATTAGGGTTCGGTTAATCTCTTTCCCTTCACCCCATTTAACTTATTGGTAAAACACCTGTCCTAATATTGGAAGTATGTAAGAACTAACATCATTATTAACTAATTAATTTATTAATGAATATATTTGTACCAAGCCACTAACATTACTTATTTTATTGGAGTTCAATTATTTTTAGTTTTAAATCATACTTAGTAGACGATGTCGAAATATTACTTTGAGTTAAACAACCTAGACATAACATGAAAATAAGAGCCAAACCCATGAACTATATCCCTTCATCATGAATTATTTTGAGTTACACATTAAATAACAATTAAAATAGTGATTTTGGAACATTAATCTTGAGAATTATCTTATGGAAAAAAATCTTCTAAATTATCATTTTAAATGCTATGTGTCTTTGTGATATTAATAATTTACCTTATTAATATTCTTATATGCTATGTTCTATATGGTACTTAAAATCCTACGATTTTACGATTCGATTATACGATTTTGATTTTACCCCAGTTTTCGATTTTAGGTAAAATCTCGATTTTAACTGCTTTGCCCATCGCAGCCTCTCCAAATCTTCCTATTCTACTCGCCGGGTCATCTCCTCCACTACAAAATATCTCCTCATGTACTCAAAGTTCTCACTGAAACCTAATATCTACAACTTAGGCGCAGAGGGAGCAACCGATGGATTGTAGCGACCCCCACTATTTTGATAGCTAATCAAGAAGAGCGCGTTTGTTTAGTTGTATGGTGATTCACTCAATTAACAATTTTTATTCCGTTGACAGCCTCCTCTCCGCAATTGTATTGTGTTCACGAAGATCTGAAGGCGCAAGTGCAAGAGGTCCAGGGATAAACAATATGTATAAAGCGTTGTCCAAATTGAATTGAGTCATTCTACTTGGAATATGAAGATTTTTGCTTAATTGCTTTGGTTCGTGATGCAACTATGTTATGTTTGAAGGTAGACCAACGCAAACAACAGCACAACTCCAGGGCTATTCTGCACATTAGGAAGTTGGGGCATTAATTGATAATTATTTCGGATTATTCCTACAAGTACATAATTTGGAACGTGCCATTATATTGCATTGATTAATAGTTGTTTGAGATTTTTCAAATGAGTGATTTGACATGTTAAACTCTCTTATTTTTGAAAATGGAGTCTTCGAAGTGGAATATGAAGATTTTGGATTAAGCTTGGTTTCGTAACGCCCTTATGGGTGTTTATTCTCTAAAATGCAGCTGTCTTTCAAAGTGCCCGGAGCAAATGGCAAGTCAGGATACAACGATGGTACCGGTACACGTTTATATCATTAGTAGGTAGCAGATTGTGTCCATTCTACTATATCATTTAGCTAAATACTTAGTTGTTCTTTTCAACTAAAAATTATGCTTAAATGCTGTGATTGGCCTCAGAAATGTATGTCTTTGCATTAACTGTTAATGATTGTGAGTTTTGGTTTAACGGTGAAAAGTCCATTTATTTAGAAGTCTAAATTGGGCAAACCTATTGGACAATAGGAATGCCATACATTAGTGTCGTGGGAGGGTTGTTTGATGTCTCAGGGTGTTAGATTTTTAAGAAGGTTGTTTGTTGTGGCAGAGAGTCCCTAAAGCTAGCGAGGTATTCCTATGTGGGCTTTTTCTTTGTTTGACTTTTTCTCGCCTTTTTTCTTATCTCTTTTTCTATTTTTGGTTTTTGTGTGCTACCTTCAGTTGCTACGTCTTCATTTGTGAGCCATCTATACTTTTCTTATTCAGTGCCTAAAAATCATATATACTCGATTGCATAGTAGTTACTAATAGATACATTTATACCAATAGAGAGATTTTAAGTTTTATCAGTTGTTAGTTTTAATATTTACTTACATTGGTTGTTTATGTAGTTTTCTTTGTAATATTTCTCATTATACATCTAATTACTATGGCTACGTAGTTGTATAAGTGGGGGTTGGACATGATAGTTCTTAGAAGCATCAATACTTGAAGGTTATTATAATGACCAAATTCTAAAGTTATGGTTTGCCTTCAACTTGCTTGGAGCATTTCAATTATGCATCAATTGTTCTCTCCGTGTAGTTAACTCTCAGAAAAATCGAAAATCTTGCTGATATGTGCTTGATTGTAGTTAAATTTAGGGTTCTACTGCATTCTTGCTTTACTCTTTTTTCGTGGTTGAGTCTGCTTCAAAAAATTTAGTTTGATTTTAGAAAATTTTGCTTCTGCAGTCCTGTCTTGCCACCAACGCGTTCAATAGATGGAGACGGGAGAGGCGAAGGCTATTTTTGTGTTGTTGTTGCTGGTTTAGGGATCGGTTTGTGAAGAAGAGGGAGAAGAGAGGGGGAAAGGGAAATGCAGGAGAGGGGGATAACTCTTTTCTCCGACAAAAATGGAGTGAAGAAAGGAATTATGATCAGTAAGAATATGGTTATCTTACATAACGGTCTCTATTCTGTTTGAATTGAACTTGAGAGGCAGTGATAAGGACGAGCTGCAACCAATTCATAGTGAGAAGAGAGCTATGAACAGTGATCATGTCTTATTTCAAGTTAGAAGGTAGTTTCAGTATAAGGATTATTTAATTTGACAAGTTGTTTCGTCCATGATTCTTGGTAGTTTCAGTGCCATTCTAGCCAATGTTTAGTCTGTAATTTTTGAGAATTGATGTGCGAGTAATGACTTTCACTTAGCTTCAACTATTATGTGTGTATTTATTGGCATGTGATAGAATTCTCTTTTCCTTTTCATTGAATTCATTTTCATACTCTAATTGTATTATTTGTACATAGGCAAATCATGCTCGAGATGGCAACTCGCTGATATGGCTGGTGCAAGGAATGAAGCCATCATTAGAATTCAGACCGACAACGGGGAGGGATGCCCAGGACTAATTCAATGATGATTGATGATGGTATAATAAAAACTGCAGTCTGCATCAGCACCAATTTCTAGGCCTAAGTAAAGGTATTCAACCCAGAACTCTGCTTAGCGCTAAAAATTGCCCTCACCCAACCTTGATCCTGTTTGACCCACTTCTGAAGAGTCAAGATATATGACTAATCCTCCCCGTTCGTATTTTCTTATTGACTCTTTCTGACCCTGTAGGTTGGGGCGGGTCGAGAAGAATTGGATTAGTGGGTCGGTCCTAATCAAGTGGAATCACAATCCCTTCACTCTCACTTGCTTTCTCTCCCATTCCACAAGTGGGTAACATACAGTAATCCGGCCAACGGGCCGGGTAATAAGCTAGTTCCAAATAATAATCCCAAACAAGATAAAGATAATGTTAAAGTGCATATAGTTTGATAACTTTTGCGCATAAAAAACATTATGTTAAATGGATAGATTATAACATCGAAAACATTGAAAAGCAGAAATTACAACCGAAACTCTTATAATCTTATTAGTACCAACACCTGGAATTTCTCCTCGTCTATCAAACCAAAGGTCCAAACCGCGACGCCTGTTCACTTCCTCAAAAGAACTTCATTAACCAACCGATCCAAACCCACAGTGGACGACCCACCAGGACCCGTAGCTTCCCGAGCCAATTTTGCCCAATCTCCCGCCTTCTTCCTCAACCTCGCCCCCTTCTCTCCATTGATAAGCTCTCTAACCATCTCCTCCACCATTTCCCTCTTCACATCCTGCTCAATCTCAATTCCGACCTCCCATTCTACGCACGCGAACCGGCAATTCGTCACCTGGTCGCTAAAGAATGGCCAGCACAGCACAGGGACACCCGCGGTCAAGCTCTCAATCATCGAACCCCAACCGCAGTGGGTGATAAACCCTCCAACCGCGGGATGGTTCAACACTTCCTCCTGCGGGCACCACCCGGATATAAACCCGAACCGGTCCTCCACCTTTAGCCCGAATTCCTTCGGAAGAGCCGCCGATTCGCCCAGAACGAGGTCGGGCCGGATAACCCAGAGAAAGGAGACATCGCTGTCGACCAAACCCATCGCGAATTCGATCAGGTGATCCCTCGACATCGTCGTGATGCTGCCGAAGCTGACGTAGATGACGGAATTCGTGGCTTTGGTGTCGAGCCAGCGGAGGCACTCTGCCTCCTCGCTCCACAAGCTGTATCCGATGGAGTCGAGGGCGGTGGCCGGGTGGGTCGGTTGGATTTGGTTGAGGAGGAGCTGCATCGGTCCGACCGAGTAGACGCGGTTCGGGTACATGGAGTTGATGGCCGCGAGGACGGGAGATTCGAGGGCTTGGTATGTGTGGAGGAGGAGAGCGGAGGCTTTGGGGACTGCCTCGGCTCCTTCCATTAGGTTGTGGAAGATGGGCTCGTTGGGATCGGTTGTGCGGATGAAGCTGGGCAGATCCTTTAGCCGCATGTTCGTCATTCCGGGTACTTCTATGGGTGTGTTCAGGTATCCATTCGTCAAGTAGCTATCATCTGCACCAACATAAAACAAAATCAGAACACACCCAGCCATGTAATGTGGCTCATCGAGTACTTTAGAAGGTAGCTACAACATGTTAGTAATATGTAATATTTTTTCTATATGATATTTAAAAGGAAGTTTATATGTGTGTTTCTTTACTAGACACCTTTTCTATTATTTTTATTTTAAATATGATCATGTATTTTGAAAGAATAATCAAACATACTTCTGTCCAAATTTTCATTAAAAAACTTTCAACCATCCTCGAACCTATGTTTGGGCGATAATATCTAAAATATCCCTATTAATTTAACTTTATCATTTTTTGTTTCTTTTATATAGTTGAATAACCCTAATAATTTTACTTTAACGAGACTTTGGTAATTACATGAAGGGGCAAAATTGATATTTTTTCTCCCTTTTTGTCGTGGTCAAATCGTCGAAACCATAGTTTGTTGACGATTTTTGGATAGCAATTTTAACAAAAAGGCTTATTTGATAATTGTTTCTAATTACAAGGACATATTTGATATAAGTAAAATAGCATGGTTGATAAAAATGCACATTAAATACTATACCTATAACCATTAAAATAATTACCGGGGACAAAGAGTTAACTACAGCAAATCGATGATGTTTGTTTCTGCAAATGTCGAGAGACGCAATGCCAGAAGACTCGCCCAATGGGCCGGGATCCCTCTTACAGTTGATCTTGGGCGATATCTGGGGGTGAATGCGATTCACACCAGAGTTACCAAAGCTAGATATCAAGACCTCATGCTCCGGATTCAGAGAAAGCTTGCTCCTTGGAAAACCAAGCACCTTTCTCTAGCTGCCCGAATCACTGTGGTTAAGTCTTTCTCTGCTTCTATCCCGATTTATCCTATGCAGACTGAGCTGCTGCCCATGAATGTGTGCAGGTCGCTGGATAAGATCAACCGAAGCTTCATTTGGGGAGATACGGAGGACAAGAAGAAATTCCACCTGGTGGGCTGGCCTCAGCTTCTGAAGCCAAGGAAGAATGGGGGTCTGGGCATCCGGTCGACGAGACAGGTGAATCTAGCGATGCTTGCCAAAGGTGGGTGGCGCATCATCAAGGAGAAAGAAGCCCTGTGGGTTCAGCTAGTCGAGTCGAAATATGGGAGAGGCCGCAGTAACACGGAGCTTCTGAGACATGTTCAGGGAAGTTCCTTTACGTGGTCTAGTTTCGTTAAAGCCTCTCACCTTATTAAAGATGGGTGTGCTTGGAACATTCATAAAGGAAATCGCACTAAATTCTGGTCTGATATCTGGATGGCGCAGGTTCCCCTTCAAGAGCTTGCTGTGAGCCAGATCCCAGCGGAGGAGAGAGATGCTATGGTGGCAGACTATGTCGATGAAGAAGGGAACTGGAGGACGGAGAAATTCGACACTCTACTCCCCCCGGAAGTCCAACGGCAGATTACTGCTCATGCGGTGGATCCCCTTGCAAGCGAGGAAGATACTCTGTTTTGGACATTAAGCTCAGACGGGAGATTTTCTACGAGGAGTGCGTATCACATGCAGCAGCAGAGACTCCCCAGCGATGATCAGAAATGGTGGAAGACGATTTGGCAGCTTGCTGTTCCTGAGCGCATCCGGTGTTTTGCGTGGCTGCTAGCTCAGGGACGGATCAGCTCGAATGAGCTAAGGGGGCAGCGGCACCTGACTGAAGACACCGCTTGCTACAGATGTGTCAACCGTACAGAAACTCTCTTACATATTTTCAGGGATTGCCCGCCGGCCGCTTTTCTGTGGAGTCGCATGATTGATCAGACATCCCAGCTTGAGTTCTTTAGCAGTCAGTGGGAGGAGTGGCTTAGGAAGAATTTAACAAGAGAGGATCCCAGGGAAGCCGACCTACCGTGGAATGTTTTCTTCATCATTGCTTTATGGTGCATTTGGAAGAACAGAAATGAGGGGTCTTTCAATGGGGTCAGCAAGACTTTGTCCGCCCCTTCGCTGCTCCAGTCTATTCGGATTAAGGCGGACCTTTGGTTCCGGGCTTGGAATTCCCCAAGCTTAGTGATCGGCAGGAAGAATAGCCCTCCTAACCGAGTTGATTCCCAGATCGGGTGGAAGGCTCCTCCGGGAGGGTGGCGGAAGCTGAATGTAGATGGCGCGGCTAGTCAAACTCATGGAACTGCGGGGGCAGGTGGTGTTCTGAGAGATAACAACAGCGAGTGGGTTTGTGGTTTTGTTTCAAGCCTGGGAGTTTGTTCTGCAGCCACGGCCGAGCTTTGGGCCATTTACCATGGCCTCAGGTTAGCTTGGAATAGTGGATGTCGAGCCTTGATAGTGGAGATGGACTCGCAAGTGGCAATTCAACTGGTAAAACACAGAACAGACCCTCTGCATCCCTGTGCTACGCTTCTCTCGGCCATTAGACGGAAGATTGCGCAAGATTGGGTGGTGAATCTAGTTCATACATACAGGGAAGGGAATAGAGTCGCGGACTGGCTCTCGAAGCACAGTCTCGTCTATCCCTACGGTATGTATGAGCTAGAGACACCACCAGAGGAACTTCAGACTTTTTTACAGGATGATCAACAAGGTCTCACCTACACTAGAAGTGTGGTGGTTTCGAGTCCTCCTACTCCTGCTTAGCTCTTCCCCCCCCCCCCCCCCCCTGTAATTCTTTCCTGCTTTGGCGTAATGCCTCCTCCAATGCAAAAAAAAAAAATTACCGGGGAAACTAACATGGATGATGGAGCTATAGTTGACCAAAAAGATTCCCAAACAAAATTCTAATCAATTAATATTAGTGCTTAAAGGTTATCATATTACGGTTAACTTCTAATTAAATAAATAGAAGTAGGCCTGTCAGTTGCATTAGTCATGAAGAAAGTTCATTTCAATTAATTACTTCTTTCCAAGGAAATTATTAAATAGACACCTAATTCTACCTTCCACTTCCTTATGTCCTAAATTTAAAACACCCTACTTAGTACTTAGGCGGTCGACATATTATCCTTTACTTAGAAAGAAAATCAATCAATTCGTTTTTGTCAATTGTCAGGAACACAAATTGTTCTACCATTTTAGAATGTGTTTTTATCTTTACAAGAATACAAAGACGATCACTTATTGACGTCATGTCAACTCTAAAAATGGATACTAACGGAAATTTCAGAGACTTTTGAGGCGTCACTCGAGTCCCAGAAGCTTCCCCATTTTGTACATATAACAAAAAAGAAAACAAAAGATTCCTTGGTTTTCTAGTTTAAAGCTCTTTTTCCCCCCTCGAGTAATAACGTGCAAGTAAGTTACCTTTGAAGGGAGTAACGCCTTGGTCACGGAGAGGGCGGTACTGCTTAAACCCCATGAAACCACAAGCAGGGAACGTCCAGTAGCTCACGGACGGGACCCCAACCTCACGTGCCACGTCCAACGCAAAAACCAGCAACCCATCCGCCACTATGCAGCTCACCGGCGGGTCACCGTTCACGACCTCCGGATCGTTCAGCCTCGCGACGAGAGCCCTGAACGGCGTCAACATGTACCTCATGATGGAGTCGCACATCCCGGCCACGTCCTGGGTTGAGCCGGGGTCCGACGGTGGGAGGCCGTCGGGGATGGTGGTGAACCGGAAGTCCGGGAGGCCATCGAGGGCTCGGGGGCCCTTGGTGTTGAGGAAGCGGTTGTGGTTGAACTCGGTGTTGACGAATGTGATGAAGAATCCCCTGTGGTGGAGTATCTTGGCGAGCTTGAGGCTCGCCTTGATGTGGCTCTGGGCCGGGTATGGGATGCAGATCGCATGAGGCCTCAGCAAACTCTTTTTCTCATCGTTGGATCCCATTGGTTTTTTCTTGAGATCAGAGTGAAGGAAGTGATTTTTCTTTGGAGGTTGTATATGTATATATGGTGTGGAGCAAGGAAGATTCTGTTTCAATATTCAGGACATAATTAGAATGATGCTCAACTTGCTAGAGATGACTATGTAGGAAAAGTTCTGTAGCTAGAGACAAAGAACGCCTTATAAATAATATTATTTTATTATGTGAAATGGTATATATGTTAATTGGGTTGGATTTGGATTCCCTATATCAAAAGTTCTCTTGATGTCGCACCAAAAAAAAAAAAAAGTTCTCTTGATGAATATTCTGATATTAAGTCATTAGATGGTGGTGGTTCTTTAATTAGATGCTAAAAAGGAATACTCAATTAGGAAGTGTAATGTAGCTATACAGAATAATGAAAGTACATTATGATACTCATAAAAATTAGTTGGATAGTTGACAATCGACATCGATGCTACCTATATTTTTTATTGTCAACATTCAACTTGCTCTCACGTTAGGTGTTATCAATAATTTGGGAAGGGGATTTAGGATATAATATGTATCATCATATTTAATTCCTTTATTTTTTAAGTTAGGTCAAATCTAGGGGTGACATTAAAAAATATATATATTCTATTTTTGTAATTGGTTTACATCTTCTCTATTTGAACCAGAATTTTGAACTCTTTATATGGATGGAACGATTGCGATCTAAAACATTATATACATTTTCATATATCGAGGTTTTTTTTTATCATTTGTTATGTTACCATTTGATAGGTCACTTTGTATATTATTCGATGACTACTCATGCAAGTGTCTCCCTCTACTATGTTTGAAAGTTCACGTCCGGTGTTTTTTCTTTGGATAGTCATCTTATTGGATTGACCATCTTAGTAATAGCTCTCTTTTGTGGATTTCACCCAATTAATACAAAGTGTAAATTTTTTTATACATATCTATACTAATAAAAAAAACTAAATAGAACACAAACAACATTTAATCTATTCTAGCCATAATCTTAATTTCCAAGTGTTATGTTCTAGCTCTAATGTCAAATTATCACGTATGTAAAATTTAAACCTAACTCACAAAGATCATCCGTATTAATCTTCTAAATGTAGAATGTACTGTTGACCCAAAACGACTCCTCTACTTGCAAACTAAATCCACACGTCGACGTTTTGGTTCGTCCTCTCCCATAACAAAGTGACGTCGTTTTCGCCTAAGAGATCATCCTTCGAAGTCAACTTCTGGACTCCTCGCTTGCTGATCACAGACCAGCAATCTCGATCATTTCGCCTCTCCTCTTCTCTCGAAATCCCTAGCTTTCCTATATCCCGCTCCTCCTCGCACCGACTCTATACGAGAAACATCATTTAGGCTACTGCAAGACTGATTCTAGGTAACGGTCTGCTTCACCCCTTAGTATAAAGATGTATGTTCTTCAAACTGTATAGACTGTACTTTTGAGAGGGAATTGTGAGAACTTCTGGGTTGAGGATTTCTTTCAATTTAGATCAAAAGGGTATTTTCATTCCAGTAGAAAGAATCGCAGGGTATCTGTTTGTACTGGGCGGTTCAATCTTGGGGAGTGAGTGATTGTCGAGTGATTTTATGTTTCTCTGTTCAAAAGAGCCAAGCTGCTTGGCTTGGCTTAGTGTTGCTTGTACTGAACATTTTCATTCAAATAAAAGTCGCATTTTCAGTTCAAGAGTTGATTATTGTTTAAATCATATCACACTCTGATTTAACAATTGGTATCAGAGCAGGCTCTTTGAAGGACTTACAGTCGCCAAAGGGAAAGATCTTAAGATGTCTGGATCAACTTCAAATGGTGTAGCTTACTCAGCAAACACAAACCCTCCATGGTTTGATGGAACAGATTACACCGTCTGGAAGAAAAGGATGAGGATCTACCTGCGTGGAGTGGATGGAGAACTGTGGGCAGTTGTAAGAAAAGGACCAGTTCCTGTGGACGATGAGAATGAAGAAGATTGGAAGGAAGATCAAAAGGTTTCCTCCCAACTTGATTCAAGAGCCATGCATATCCTATTCTCAGCCCTGTCACCTGAGGAAAGAAGTCAAGTGGCTCAATGTGAATCAGCAAAGGAAATATGGGAGTCGCTCCAAACCACTCATGAAGGCACATCTGAGGTAAAGGAAAGTAGAATAGATGTGTTATTGAATGAATATGAATCGTTTGAAATGAATTCTGGTGAATCAATTTCTAGTATGTATAAAAGATTCAATGATTTAATAAACAGGTTAAAAGGACTAGGAAAAATCTTTGAAACAAAGGACTTAGTTAGAAAAATATTGAGGAGTTTACCTAGAGAATGGTTGCCCAAACGAACTGCAATAGAAGAGGCCAAAGATCTAAGAGTTCTATCTATAGAAAGGCTGATAGGATCCTTGCTAAGTCACGAAGAAGTGATCATACAAATGAATAAAGATGATCACAGAAAAAGAAAGGTCATAGCATTTAAGGCACAAGAATGTGATAGTGATTCTGAAATTGACATGGGAGAAGAATTTGAGAAAGAATTTGCCTTGGTAAGTAGGAAGTTTCATCGAATGCTCAAAATGAAAAGAGACTTTCAGGCAAGAAGATCATTTCATGATTCGAGAGGCTTTAACAATAACTCTTATGATCTTAAAAGAGATAGAGAAGGCACTGAAAGAACTCCAAAAACTAATGATAAATATGTGTCAAATAGGAGCTACTTTGATAAAAATTCCTCTAAGACTTATGAAAGACCCTCTGAAGGTCGAGAAAGGTTCAGATCTGATAAGGAAGACGTGAGGTCTTCCAATGAAAAAGATTTGACCATTTGTTTTAAGTGTGGAAAGGCAGGTCACATGAGATCAAAGTGCCCTACCAGAGCAAAAGAAAAAGCACTTGCAGCCTCCTGGAGCGATTATAGCTCAGAAGAAGAGCAAGAAGTGAAGAATCTGGCATACATGGCTTTTGCCACCAGAGATGAGAGTGACAGTCAGTCTTCATGTAGCCACAGTCCACTAGTGCCCTCAAACTATCAGGTAATTTCAGACTCAGGCTCGGATGTAACAGAACTAAAAACTGAATTTCTGCATGAGCTAACTAATCTTCAAGAAGAATGTAAGAGGCTCAAGAGTAAATATTGCATGCTTATGACTGATTATCAAGCTCAAAAGGAGGAAATCATTGTTTTAAAGAGAAATTTGAGTATTCATAGTGACTGGAACAATGAACTTAACAAACATGTTTTTGAACTTAAAAATGAGAATCAGAGGTTAAGAAGTACTTGCAAGAACAACACAGTTTTCTTGAAACAAGAGAAAGGTGGATTTGAAAACAGAAATCTCTCTCAAACTCAAGCCACTGTGCACAAAAAATTTGCAAAATATCCTGTAATCTTCACCTGTTCTTTCTGCAAAAGAAGAGGACATGTAGCAAAGTTTTGCTATGATTTATATCCCAAGAAAGCAAGAGTATCCAAAACATTTTGGGTACCAAAATGCACTAATATTTGATTGATTGCAGAATGAGGGAGAAAATGTGAATACATGGTATCTCGACAGTGGTTGCTCCCACCACATGACAGGTAAAAAGGAACTTTTTTCTTATTTAAGCTATAAAAGAGGAGGTAAGGTCGTATTTGGTGATGATCATGTAGGGATTATTATGGGAAATGGGACAATTGGTAAGAATCCCCTCCCAACTATTAAAGATGTGTTGTTTGTTAAAGGTCTTAAGCATAACCTGCTGTCTATCAGTCAACTGTGCAACTCTGAAAACAAAGTTGTGTTTGAGTCTTCTTCATGTGAAATCATTAGAATAAAGGATAATAAATTGCTGTTTAGTGGAATTAAGAAAGATAATATGTATGTGGTTGACTTAAACTGTCTGAGTTCGTTTAATGAAACATGTTTTCAAGCTAAGCAATGTGACCTAGAAATGTTATGGCATAGGAAACTAGGCCATATAAGTCTCTCAAAGTTATCAAAACTTTCTAGAACAAATTCAGCCCGAGGAATCCCTTTGTTAAAAGAAAACTCAAAGTTTTTCTGTGATGCTTGTGTTGGAGGAAAACTAGTTAAAAAGAGTTTTAAATCGAAAAAGGACATTACTACGTCAGAACCTTATGAGTTAATCCACATGGATCTCTTTGGACCAACAAATGTAGTAAGCTTAGGTGGTAAGTCCTATGCTTTTGTTCTAGTAGATGACTTTTCCAGATATACCTGGGTTTACCTTCTTGCATCAAAAGATGAAACCTTTGGTCATTTCAAAAGCTTTATAAATCTTATATCAAATGAATCCAAGAATGGAATTAAAACAATTAGAAGTGATAACGGAGGGGAATTCATTTCTGATATGTTTAGTGAACTCTGTAATGACAAAGGCATTAATCACACGTTTTCAGCACCAAGAACACCACAACAGAATGGTGTAGCTGAACGAAAAAATAGGACCATCATAGAAACAGCAAGAACAATGCTACTTGAATATGGAACACCCAAGTTTCTTTGGGGAGAAGCTGTTATGACTGCTGTATATGTAATAAACAGAGTCTTGATCAGAAAAATCATCAACAAAACGCCCTATGAGGTTCTAAAACATAAACAGCCTAACTTGGGGTATTTTCATCCTTTTGGATGTAAATGTTTTATCTTGAATACCAAAGATCACTTATATAAGTTTGATTCAAAGTCTGATCAAGGTATATTTCTGGGATACTCACTTAAAGGACAGGCTTACAGAATTTATAACCTAAGGTCCAAAAGAGTCGAGGAATCTGTATTTGTTAAATTTGATGAATCTGGGAATTCTAACAAAGTTTCTGCAGAGAGTATAAGCTTGCTGTTTCCCATATCTAATGAGGAAGATAAACCTGAAGATGAATTCAAAGATTCCCCACCAGAATCAGCTGAAAAAGGCAAAAATGAAACAGCAGATGATGGGAAAATTGAAGAAGAAGAAAGACAGGCGCCTCCACACATCCAAAAGAGACATCCACCTTCACAAATCATT